TTGCACTGTGAGATTACCAAAATACTCTTTCATCTTAAAAGACGAAAATACCCTTCTCACAAATTGATTCTTAAATTATCTTCTAAGTGTGTGACCCGTAGGCTCCTCATCATATTGACAGTGTATAGTATCGCGATTAACACTAATTAAACGTCTCACTACACACCGACCAAGATTGACCCCTAGCAAGCCATCATGGCCACCCGATGGGTTTGGATTCAGCGAAACCATAGCCTGACAACGATATGGTTACCGTGCAATCAAATCTTTTCATTAACTGTTATCTCATCGAGACTGAGGTACATAAATAGTATCAACCTCAGATATCCTCGACATGTTTGTATTAGTTAGTGGACCAATGACAGTAAAATTGGATTGAGCATCAACTCAATCCCACTGTGGCCACAAATTTAGTGTCATTGTCATTTACTGAATTATCCAGTGAGATAACTTCTCCCATACCCAAGGGTGATGAATCCTTTATCGATCCACCATAGTCTCAATACACTTCTCAATGTAGCCAATCACTACCGTATTGATAGCTCTGAATAGAACTACGTTGGGCTAGTGTCAAACTACACCAATTAGTGCATAAGGCGCTCCGGTGATCTCAAGTCTAAGGATCACATGCACCACCACCCGTTAGAGGATTTATTCCATAGACACTGGGGTTACCATCCATATGGAATCCTCTAGTGGGTCTGTCCAGTGAACTTGCATCTAACAAGCACCCATGCGTTGCACAAGGTTGTCGGCAAACAACCTTGACAAGTGAGATCAGTCACTGCCTTTCGACAAGGTCGTTCAACACTATGATAACCTTGTCGTATTATCTGTGTCCTTGGTCAGAATAATAATGGGACTACGAACATTTCTAAAATGGTCACCATATATGATCATAGGGTTCTCACTATCAAGATTTGAAATATTTGATACCCTCGTCACGGTTCTACCATCCTAAGGACATATGTCATTACATACACGATATAGAAGAATATATCTTTTATTGATAAATAAACATTTATTATATAGTCAATTTTACTATAATTGATTGGTTTTATGGCATTACTCTAACAGCAACTAGTATATATGCCATTCGGTTCAATAATCAGCTCAAAAAACTTCATCTTGATTTTTTCACGTCGGTGCCTTTCCATGGCCACTTTTGCCCATGACAGGTTCAAAACCCCATTGGCCGGAATTCCCACCCTATGGCTACCAGATTTTAGAAGCTATCGAGAAGGTTGACCTTTCTCATTACATTTTTCTCGCCAAGCCAAGACAGTTGATCCATTTTGCCGTTACCACTGCTCGGGCCTACATCCAAATAAAACCCGAAAAATCCATTTCCCCGGGCCCATTCCTTTGCAGTCCATAGTTACTTGAGCCCAATTTTTCAGCTTCCTAAGTCACTCCTATGGTAAAACTAGCCCATTCCCTTTGTTAAGTTAACCCTTCTTCAAGCCTAGTACCTCTTTGCTCCCCCAGCCCAATAAACCTTTGCTCACCTTGCCCAACATTTCCAACCAGCCCTTGATCTAAGCCCAACCTCCCTGAACCCTCCTTGCAGAACTTGGCCTTGGTGGTGCCTGTGTCATCTTTTTTCTCCACTTTGTCGCTCGTCCCATTCGCCGGCCTTGGAACCATTTTGCCAGCGTTGCGTTTTCTCCTCCCAAGCAGACTCCTGGAATGATCCCGGCCACTCTCCTCATTTGACGACATGGCTAATTGCCTACCAGGAGAACTCCTTCCTTGCCGCACAATAGCTTCTGATTCCAATTACACCACCACAACGCATGTATGGCTCCTAATCACATCAATGGCATTACTCTACACCTTTCACAATCGACAATCCAGCCGTCGGCCCCTTTTCCATAGGTTTTGCCATTAGAGATGCAACCTACCCACTAGCGAACGCCGTCCCTTGAACACATCCCAGCTCACCATGAACTTCTACCAAAAATTTTGAATCCATCTCTTCCATAGGTAGCGCTTCATTTACCGAGAATACCCCAGATTTCCTTACCCATCATAGGAGCTGACCTTTACACCCCCAATTTTCCCCATTTTCCTTTCCTGGTTTCACCGATTGGCAAGACCCAATGAGTCTGCCCCATCACTAACGTAGGCCCCGACAACCACAACCCAAATGGCCATCGGCAGTGACGATGACGGAAGCAACAGAGGGGAGAGAGATTTCTCTTTCTATCTCTAGATTCTTTAGGTATATCAATAAGACAATAACGCATATATACTTTGTTGAACACAATCTGTTGAAAATTTAAAAGAATATGATATTTAAGATTATGAATTGACATTAAAAAAAAAATTTTACACTGGAATATGTTAAATTAAAGTCTAAAAATGGTTTTAAAATTATGAATATAAAATTTACAAACACCTAAGTTTTTTTTTTTTTTTTTTTTTATCTTAAATGATATATGATTCTATTTAGGTAGTAATGTGTGACATATAACACAACCAGAAATGAAAATTTTTCATAAGTTGCAAAAAAAAAAAAAAAAACTTCCAATTTTGTTCATGAAGAGGCTTGTGTTTTCTACTATTTTATCAAAATAATAATAATTATTAGAAAAAAAAAAGTTACAAGTATTTATTATAAGTTATCTGAATGGATAAATTGGATTGATTATAGAAATAAGAAAAACTTTAATTTATTTTCCATCAAACCTAAAGGGTCTAGAAATGTATAATATTTTCCACGGAAAATGATTGAAAATTGAATTTCAAATGTATAATTATACTTTCGGTACGGAGATCTGTCAACACTCTCTACAAGTATTCATATTTGTGGACCTCCGCATTAGAATTTTGGTTGCCCCGCCTTGCTCAAAAAAGCAGCTAACCCATGAAATTGACATTTGTATATTAATTTCCAAATTCCATACCAGGGTTAGATGATATTCTCATCCTGGAATTGGATAATCTCATGCAAAGATTAATTGCTTCGGCATCTTATTCCTGTTTCTGGGGGCATAATCCAGTGGTCTGTAAAATACGTATTATCATATGGATGTTCATGTCTCTTCATACCTAGGGACATGAGCCTCCACTGCCCTTGGAAAATTCAATTAATTCCCTTTAATTTTGTGCTTTTAACAAAATACCCCTTTTCTTCTATGAAAGTTAATAGTTAATGTTATAAATTTAAGAAAAAAGCTATTTGTACAAACCGAAGAAAGTTTATACAAGCTAATGTGGTATGTCACGTTAGTGCTACATGTCATGACACCCATATTATTTAATATTATGTCAGTGCTGTGGAAACTCACATGCCACATATTGATGTGACATGTCACACATTTTATACAAACTCTATGTGTAAGAGAGTTTGTATATATAGTCTTGTTATAATATAACAAAGTAATACTATATTTACAATTCAATCTCATAAACTCTCTCTTATAACTCTGATATGACAGTTTATAATTGGTCAACTCGTAATAAGTCTCATCTACCAAATTACGAGCTAATCAATTGTAAATTGTTACGTCACTGTTGCAAGAGAAAATTTATAAGATTGTGTTATAAGCTAAATTTTTATTATAAATTTAGACAATTATTATACATATCCTCTATTGACTAAACTTATTTAGGGTCAAATTGTCAGAGGTAACCATCATCTCTAACAGAATACATTATGAAATAAAAGACTCTTGAAACTTAGAAATTTTTGCTGTAAAAACTTTGACAACATTTTTTAAGAAAAGAAAAGGAAAAATGATAACTTATAAAACAAGTAAGAAAATAAAATCAATAATTTAGAAAAATAATACCAAACAAACAGGTGGGCTGATTAATTTCTTATCGTAGCTAAGCTTTTAGATAGTGTTAGGTAGAACATTGCTCTATAAGTTTGCTTTTTCTTGAAAACAACTTAACTTAATCCCATCAAAACCACTGTGCTGCTCTTTGTTATAACTATTTATCTCTAATTAGCATCATAATTTTACGTTTAACCAATACTCTTTAAGAAGAAATCAAACAGCGCAGCGCCCCTTGTTTCATCATTTATGCCAAAAGTTAATATAATTTTAAATAAAAATCATTAATTAATTAGATGTGTAATTAGGTAGGATTAATGATGGATGAACTGACTCGTTACACTGTTTTGTTGCTTTAATTTTATTTAATTTAGTTGATTAATTGACTTAGACTGTAACCAAACATTAGCACTCTAATGACCTAACCTGGCGGTCAAGGAGGTTTGTCCCTTCATTAAGTTCTTAGGTTCAAACTTTGAGATCATTTACCATTTTGTGATTTATTTGGTCTTTTAAGTTTTAAGGCATTCAATGAACTCTGAAGATTAATTAAAGTAGCACAAACTTGTTTGAACACGATTACAAAAAAAAAAAAAAAAAAAAAATGTTTGGTAGCCTAAAAAACGAGTACTCTATCCCATTATTTTACATTATTTGTATCGAATTCAAACTAATCAAACATGTATTAAGAAAAATAAAGAATATATATCAAGTCAATGTTTTAAAAAAGATTTTGATCATGGCTAAGAATCTTGAAAAAATAAAATATATTAAGGAACATATCTTTTTAAGATACCCCATTTAGATAAATATAAAGTAGAATTTATAGATTTTGAAGATGATATGAATGTAGTTAATAGTGCAGCTACCGAACGTGGTTTACAATATATGATATTATTTTTATATTTATTATTAAATTAATTTAATACTATTGTTGACAACATTAATCAATCAGCTCTTAGCATGAAACATTGATATTTACTTTTGTCACAGAAAACACACAAGAAAGACCCAAAAAAGGTCTGAATATTTGTCATTCTAGAACAACAATAAAGTTTACTTAATGGGTTGTTTTTTCTAGCTTGTCTGTACCTTTCTTGCCAACCACCTGCCTTTGCCTTATTTTCCCAGTTAATTTCCATACTCAATATGATTAACCCATAAACTCAAAAAGGGCCAAAAAAAAAAAAAAAAAAAAATTAATGTGGTTATTGGAATATTAACATTCAGATTTTTCTAGTCTCATATATAGTTAATTTTAATGGTAATTACATCAGAAAATCATCCTCTGATTCGATACTGAAAACATCACAAATTAGAGGATTAGAAAGATAAATTAATTAGATGAAGAACCCCATAATTAAAAAAGGAAGAGCTAGAGGATCAAAATTTTTCCCATAAAAAGCTCTAATAATTAACTTCAATATTTTCATCCTCGAACCCAACTTTCTTCAATATTGCATTTCTGACCCGACGCAAGTCTCTTCCTTTCAAAGTCCTCCCTATTCCTTCATGAACCGAAAACGAAGCCCCTCTCCTCATCGCTAAAAGCTCATGCGGAGGAACCCAGCTGTAGTATTCTGCTTCGTCGTCGTTTTGGCTGATGCCGTTGCCGTTATGACCGTCTCCTCCTTCATCACTCTTCCCATGTCTGTACTCCTCTTTAAGAATCTTCGACCAGTCCGGTATGTTCATCGGCAATGAAGTAGACGACACGTGCATATTCGCCAAAAGCTTCTTCGACGAACGAGAACTGGGTATTCCTTTTGCCGATCTCGACAGCTCCAACGCGCCGGCGCTATTCGATGACTGATGATGAGGGTGATGATCGTTTGATGGTAATTTCCACAAATCAGCTTCCTCGAATTCGAAAACGAGATGAGGGTTATCAATGGTGGAAGGATCAATAGGAAAGCTGTAGCTTGGCTTAGAGTGAAAGATTTTTCTTGATGATGCCATTGTTGAGACCAGAGACAAAAAACTGAAGCTAGCAGCTTTTTGCTCGAAAATGGAGGTTTTTTGGTTAAATGGTTTCTGTTATGGTATGTTATGTTTCGTTTGCGCTCTACCTTTACGTTTGGATTTGCGTCTGTTGTTGTTATTGTTGGATAAGCTCCTTCTATGAACAAAGTAAACAAGTTACTATTTAAAAGTTAAGTTTAACTGCTTAAAAGCGGGCACCCTCATGCCTTTGGTATGATCTCCACATCGGGTTCTCTGCCCCAACCGCCTGATTTTCACCTCATCATATCATTACCAAAATAGAGATTACTGTTCATCCATAAAGTTTGACTTAAGAACAAAGTACGCCCAAGGTATTCCAAAAGTGATAAATCCACCCAATTTTTTTACCTGAAAGAGTAAAATGCCCTAAATTGTCGTTTTTAAGGTTCTTATTTTAATTTCATGTGTTTACTTTTATTTGTGTGTTTGAAGTAGCAAATTTAATAAAAAAATGATATTATGTAGCAATTTCAAATAAGAAACTTAAAAATGATAGTTTAGGGTATTTTAGCCTTTTAGATAAAAAAAGAAAAAAAGAAAAAATAATTGGGTGAATTTATCATTTTTGAAAACTTTTGGGTGTGCGGTAACTCAAATTTCAGGGGTGAAAATGTTTTAATCTCTACCAAAATGAGGATAACTTCGATTCGAAACTAAAGTCCTTTTTCTGAAAGTTCACATTAACGTTGTGGAGGCGCTAACAGAAAAGAATTACTCGGATTTAAAAAAAAAATTAACTTTTGGGGAATGACACGTAGGATGATAATGAGTCAATCCATTGTCAATAATTCCATAATGGAGAAGACACGTAGGATAATATTTTAATGCATTAAATTACACTGCAAATAGATGCTCTAGTAGATGGGATAATATCGAATTTATCCATTTCAGAACGAAACTAGGACACGGGGACAAAATCCATGAGCGACGTTCTATTATCAATAATGCTACGGGTACCCATTTTTTGCACCGTAATTTTTTATCGAACGATATGGCATTCGTCAGACGCAGACATATTTGATAGAAAATACGTCTCTTATTAATAGACAATAGTCTAACAATCACAGACAATCTTTCATATTTTATGGACAATCGTTCATCACAAATGGACGTTTGTTCATATTATATAGATAAGTATCCATATAAGATGAATGTCTATTTAAAAAATTTTAGAAACAAAATGATTGACACCCGTTCATTTAATACGAACGAGCGGTCATATAACCATCCAAATCATAGTTATGTTTATACATTGCAAGGACTTTTCCTTAAGATTTCGGCACATTATTGTCACAAAGGCTACCCACTTGCTCCATGTTTCTCATCAATTTTTGTGTGGTCATTGTTATTAGTGAAATTTAATTGGTAAGTCAATGCCAAAACAGGAACTTCTGCTTAATTTGACCTCTAAAATAAGTTTTGAATTTACGTTCATTTTGAAACACTTTTTTATCTGCCAGAGGAACTCTGTATCTAGACACTGGCTTGTGTTGTGGCACAAGAATGGTGATGCACTCCGGATGACGTATTATATTGGAGAAAATATCAAACATGGGTTAAATTACTATAGAGGATCGTCTATTGTATATGTATATAGATGTCCATCTAATAATATAGATGGATGGCATCAATCATTATGGTTTTAAAATTTTTTAAACCAAAATAATTTAGATAGACATCTATCTTATATAGACGTATATTCATAATAAATAAATACTCATTTATATAATATAAACAGAGTTTATTGATATTTTTATAGATACTCATTATTTATGATGAATGATCATTTATGATTGTTAGGCAATTGTCTATTTATAGGAGATATATTTTTTATCTAACGTGTTCACGTCTATCTGGATGGCGGTAAAAAATTTTGGCTTAAAAAATCGGTATCCCTACGTTATTTTTCTATTATTACTCAAACTTCATTGGCACTGATGATCGGCTTTATTGACACGCTCTCTTGATGTCCAAGTACCGGGGTCCACTCCCCCCATCACCGTCCAAGTAAGATCTAAATGTCCATATCTTTACACGTCATGTAAGAAATAAAATTAAGATTTGATGTCTTATTTTTTGTCCCGACAACGACACTTGATGACGTCATTAAGCGACACGTATTAGAATCTTGGCAGAAAATAGAAATGTCAGTTTGGGAAGCGGTGTAAAAGTTGTGGACAAGTTCTTGTAACTGAATTAACAAATTACGCCTTTAAAGTAAAATGATGCATGTGGTTAAGTTCAATGAAAGTGGATTTTCTTTAATTAATTTTTATTTTTCATTAAATTTGTGGCGGTTGATTCATGAATCATCATGTTTTCTCCCAAGCTCTAAATTTTGTTTGTTTTTGAATTCTTGAATTGTTTAATACTTTGGGCTAAACATGTGATGTTAATTAAGCTAATAATGTATTATCATTTGATATTATTTTATTCATTGTCTATTGTTGGACCTAAAGACTTTAATATAATTTATTGATTTTCATATGGCCGTAGCCTATTGTTGAATCAAACCCAGGATTAAAAAATATGAAAAAAGAAAGAAAGAAAAATCTAAAATATAAGCGATATAATAAGATCTCATGCACATCACGTGAGACCAAAAGCAGCTTATTATAAGAAAAAAATGAAACAACAACTACGTAAAAGGAGTCTTGAAGCCTGATAATGTCATATCTGCTATATGTTTTTTAATGGAGTGTTGCAGGATTTTCTGGGTTTTAAATTCATGAAGCTATATCCTTATCCTACAAGATATAGCCAAAAACTTTATAGTTTATAGGATAAGATCAGGTCTTCTTATATATAAGTTGTTGGGTATTTAACAACAATAATGGAGACTGACAGTGTTTTATTTTATGTTCTGTATTTGTGCACGTGGATGTTGAAACTGAGATAAGATTTTCATGGCTTTATCTCTTCACTTTTTTTTTTACCATTGTCGTATCTATGTTAGGATTTTTATTGTTAATTTTGGGTATTTTAATATTTAGGTTATTGATTTACTAATTTAAGGTGTTAATAAGCAGTTTTGTTTGAATTTCCGTGCCGTTGGATAAAATAAAAAATGCTCGAGTAAAGCTTAGGCTGCTTGACTCAATCGCCCACGCGTAACCCGAGGAAAAATCCACTCGAGCCGACGCCGGACGCTTCACTCGTGCGCCTAGGCCCACCTGCAGGGATGACAAAATAGGACATGGATTCAACTGCTGTGGGAAATCAAAATCATCTCTATTAGGGCCAGGATACACATCCCGAATCCGTTCCCTTTTCCCATTATAAGGTTAAATTTAAAATATATTTATTTTTACAATTATATGTGAAATATATTACTAAGTAGGTTGAAATAAAATATTTATATATAACATTTATATTTATTGAATAAAAATATGATTACAAATACACTATCATTATATTCAAACAAAAAAGTCGTAACCTAATAGAAAATTGTTGGTGGTCCTTTTGTATTTACTACAAAATGATAATAATTAAGAAAATTATAGTGAAATGATTTAAGAAGGGTATTGTTGACTTGGGCTTAATTTTGAATCGATGCACTTCTTTTTTTAGACTTCAATCACACTTTTTGAGTAAAAAAGAACGTATTAGAGTTCAGTCCATTGTTGACTTAGGCTTAATTCTGAATCGATGTACTTCTTTTTTTGGACTTCAATCACACTTTTTGAGTAAAAACGAACTTATTAGAGTTCACTCGAAGAAACCTCCCATTGTAGTGTAGTTGTCACTAAAGTCATTTGGGGTGATTTGTATGGTGTTTAGAGGCTAATTTCATGGTTGTGATGCTTAGGAATGATGTATGTAATGTTTGAGTAATTTAATTGATGGAAAGAAGGAAATAATCGACTACAATTTTGATGTAAATGATAGGTGGGTGAATGATGTTATGATCGGTTGAATAAAGGATTTCCCCCTGCTTTGAATAAAAGGACTCCACCCTTTATATAGGGGCTGGGAGACAAGTGATAGAGTTTTGATTTAGAGATAAACATAATAATAAATAATTTATAAAATATAAATAAGAAAATGGATTTATATAAAATATAAATCAATTTATAAATGATAAAGAAATAATGTAGACTTAAGTAAGTTCAGATCATTTGAGAAATATATTTATTTAAAAGAGAGATAAGTGTATTTCAAATATCCAATGAATTAATAAAAGGGAGATAATTTCAATAATAAAATAACCTAGACATACGTATGTCTAGATTCACTGGATTTAAAATAAATAGGATGATAAATTGATTTACATCAAAAGGATTTTGGATGATAAATATCCAATAAAATAATTTATAATAAATAAATAAATATAAAAAAGGAGATAAATGCATGAAATAATATTTTATCAAGGATAAATGCCAAAATTTAAATTAATTTATAAATATATTCGGGATTTATATAATTTAACTGATAAAGTGAGAGATAAACCTGAAAATAATTTATCTCTTGATAAAAAAAAAAAAATTATTAGATCATTCAATAAAATGATAAGAATTGACCAGAATGCTCCTTAAGGGTTTTTATGCATTATTAAGTGAATCAAAATGCTTTATTGTAGAGGGTTTTTTTGGCAGTTTTAGAGACTCTGATCATGCTCAAGAAAATTTGAAACCAGAATTACGAATAACGTGAAAATTTTGTAAGAGCAGGGATTTTGTAAAATTGATAGAAAATAGAATATGCATGATAAAAATATAAACATAAATTTTAATAGATGGGAAACATAAAAAAACCCACGCTCTAAGAGGTTGAAAAATGGATAGGGGTATTTTGGTAAGTTTGGGCTGTGGAGATTAAAATCGTTATTTTGCTACCCACATCAGTAAAGATCAGTGTTTTAGGACTAATGTAATCGTTGAGAGATTTTAAGAGTTTGAAAATTATTTTTCCTTGGGTCTTTTAGAAATGGTCTTCCACATCTATTAATTAGAGATGTCTAATTAGATACCCCTAAGCGGCCCAATTCAAAGAAACATCTCGGCCCAATAAGCTTTTTTTTTTTTTTTTTTTTGGATATTCTAATACCATGACACCACAACTCACAGAGATTGTCCCTTCAAAGTGGCTTGGGTCCACCGGTATTTAGAAAGAGAGAATAGTATTTCCTCTTGTTTATCTTCCTGTTCGGTTTTAGGTCATTGGTCTATAGAGCATGTTGGATCGTAGGTTGAGATAGATTTCGGCCTTGTTTTACACAAAGGCTTGTGAGAGGATGTTGGTTGAATCTTTGGATTCGAATGAACCTGAAATAAGAGATTGTCATCTATTGATGGGTTTTTATAGTATGAATAATACTACATATACAACATTCTCATATAACATTATATGATAAAAGATGATTGGGTGAAAGTTTAATTTCAATTTAAAATCAACCAATCATATTTTATCATATAATATTGTATAAAAAATACTATATGTGTAGTGTTACTCTTATGGGATGGGATAACGTGTCATCTCTTAATGCGCTTTTAGCAACAGTACCATCTAATCATATAATATTGTATGAAAAATACGTATGTGTAGTGTTACTCTTATGGGATGGGATAACGTGTCATCTCTTTATGCGCTTTTAGCAACAATACCATCTAATATTTTCTCTCTGTTTGTAAAATATTGGAACCTTAGAAGAGGTCAGTGAACCCAAAGAATATTAGTGGGCTCAACTAGCACCATTCAAACATGAAAAACAATTCGAGTTCAGTCCAAACCCTAATTCAATATTCTTAATGATTGAGCCCGTAAAAATTATACTAAATTTGGGCCATAAATCCACATTATCGGCCCAATAAAACCCACTGCAAAATAACCTAAACCCTAAGGACGTAATAGTCATTCCTACTCAACACTGCAAAACCCTAGTTTGCTTATATTCAACCTCAACCCCTTCTCTTAATTTCGCTGCGCCTCCCTTCCCAAGCCCTAACACATATTTTCTCTCCCTTTTTTTCTTCTACCTCTAACAAGCAAAGGAAATCCAAAGATGCCGCCAAAGTTCGATCCATCTCAGGTGGTCGACGTCTTCGTCCGGGTGACCGGAGGTGAGGTCGGAGCTGCGAGTTCACTCGCTCCTAAAATCGGTCCACTCGGTCTCTCCCCCAAGAAGATCGGAGAAGACATCGCAAAGGAAACCGCTAAAGACTGGAAGGGCTTACGTGTCACCGTGAAACTGACCGTACAGAACCGTCAGGCGAAGGTCGCGGTTGTTCCCTCCGCCGCCGCATTGGTCATCAAAGCGTTGAAGGAGCCTGAGAGAGACAGGAAAAAGACAAAGAATATCAAACACAACGGCAACATTACTCTCGATGATGTGATCGAAATCGCTAAGGTTATGAGGCCAAGGTCTATGGCGAAGGATCTGAGTGGAACCGTTAAGGAGATTTTAGGCACATGCGTTTCGGTTGGGTGTACGGTCGATGGGAAAGACCCCAAGGATCTGCAGCAGGAGATTACTGATGGTGATGTGGAGATTCCTCTTGATTAAAGAAGCAGATATTTTGTGAGGGTTTTTTTTTTTATATTTTAGTTTTTTAAGTTTATTTCTCAATATCTGTGTTTTTATTATTATCAGTTTTGGATCTCTATAAGGATTTTAATCGTATCTCCAAATTTCAAGTTTTCAGCGGTAGTGAGTGCTAAATTGGAATCAGGAGATGTAAGATTGAATTTAGTGGTTTTTTTGGATAACATTTGAGACGTAAATTTGATCTTTAAGTTTAAGTTTATAGTGCATTTCCTTAGCAAATGAATGGTGTTTGATTTGTGCTACTTTTTTTTTTTTGGAAGGTTTATATGTTGGTTTGGAATTATGTAGTTGAGTTTTAATTTTAGGATGGCAACCAGGACTTTGAATTAGCTATGGTACGAGAAAAAGCTTTATTGTTAACTGAGAAAACTGGTTTTGTTGAATCGTGTATTGATGTCATATTAACTTACTCCTCATCTTTATTTAATGCATTACCCTCCCTCCCAGTTCAATTTAAGCTCAAACACCCCTTTGCCTCCTCAACCACCACCACACTCCCAGAAAGCCCCATATAGTGCTTAGTTAAACCCCACAACCCGGTAAGTAATAAGCAATTTCAAAAGTCTCTTAGTTCATTTATGGTCCCTAGGTTATTGGATGCAGGTGGCTAATTAGCCAATCACATGTCAGTCGAATGGCTGTTTATTGTGTGAATGGTCAGTAAGCTCACCAACAGCAGAGCTATGGCGTTTTGGTGGCCTTTAATGGTGTGCTAGAACTATGGTTTCACTTTAAGGCCATCAACTACATTCAGTATAATATGTAATAAACTATTATCTTTTCCTTCACTTTTAGTTCTGACTTCGATTATGTTGTTTTATGTTTCTTAGTTTAGGATGAAATGTTTTAGTTATTTCTTTGCCTGTGGTGGCCAATTAACCAGTCTCATATCAGCTGTGATGCTGTTGTTTTGTGTGAATGGTCAGTAAGCCACCAACAGCAATGCTATGTTGTTGGCCTTTAGGGTGAACTCTGAACTCTAGTCTCACTCTGAGGCTCCAACTGCATTCATTACATGTGTAATAAACCATTAACTCTCTGGTTTGGGACTGCTTACATTCATAAGTTATAGTTTGGTTGGGCTTCATCTCAGTAGTGCCACGAAGTTATTAAGTTCAATATTTTAATAATATTTTGGTTGAGTAATCCAAGTTTACATTCAGGGAAGCAGGACAGATCATGTAATTGGCTCTTTAATGCTGCATGACTACAGGGGCTTGTGTTTGTGTTCATCCTTGATTGGAGATGATCATGATTGTTTTATGCATCATGTGATCATTTGATGGTTTGATTTGTACATGTTTGGCTGTTAATTCCAATTTGACTTGAATTAGTTTTTATTTCAGATCAAAATGTTAATGTACTTGTTTGTCCGGTTAGGGATGCCTAATAAGCTGCATTAATATTAGGTTATAGGTTGTGTTGCACTAAAACCTGTTTGAGGCCTGTATTTTATGGTTTGTGATGTAGTGGTAGTCGATTTAATTTAGGGCAACACAGAAATAATGGTTTCCATTTAAAGTAGTTATATCCTAAACCTTAGGGGTATTTCCTTTACTATTGTAAAAGGGTTGCTTAGATTTAATTTTATGCATTATTAGAGTTCAAGGTGACAGTTCCTGAAATGTTTGTCGATTAATAGCTCAATATTGTATTCTTGGAGTAGTCTTCATTTTTTGGGATTGACTATTAAAACACCATCTCAAGTTTAGAATAAATTAAATAGCCATGAACTTTATCGCTTAAGTGATTTAATACATATCGCTTAAGTGATTTAATAGATATCGCTTAAGAGATAAATTTGTAGATAAACATATATCGCTTAAGCAATAAACTTATATCGCTTAAGCGAATGATCATTTAGTAAAGAGTTTTAAACTTCATGGTTATTTAATTTATTTCAAACTTGAAATAGTATTTTAATTAATTTCTCTCATTTTTTTTATGTGGATTTGTTAAAATGCTCAAGATGTTAAGGAATAAGGATGTTAAAATAGCCCATTGGTTCTCGCTTATTGGGATGGATTTGAATAAATTAAAATTTCAGAGCAGGGAGGATTTAGGTTTGAATATCATGCCCCGAATTATTTTTGGATGGATATAGTAATGATAAGTTTTACTTCTTCCGTTTCACAATAATAGTCGTCCTAAGACTGTTATATTTTTCCAAAATAAAAGAAGTTTGACCAACTCAACCTTTTCTCAAATGGCCTTTGTCTCCTCTCTTTCACTTTTTCTTTAGCTCTCATCTCCTCTCACTCTTTATCTATCTTTGCCCCACGTTCTCTCTCTCTCTCTCTCTCTCTCTCTCTCTTTCAAACATAGGTAAAGAGCAGTTGTGAGAAGAATACGTCATAGATCAAGGGATTAGAGATAAGGTATTACATTGTTCGGTCATGGTAACGAAACAAAATGAAAGAGATGGAGTAGGAGAGAGAAAATGACATAACTATAGATATTAAATTCAATAATACTTTCACACTTGTATATAGTGGGAAAATAAAAAATTTCTCACCTGCAATTTCAGAGGGAGTAGTTAGTGAGAGGTGAGAGAAAATTGATTTATTAAATAATGTACATAGCGTTAAATGGACTATTATTGTGAAATAGGAGTAACACCTAAAACATTATTAGTATTTTTATATTCTCTATAAAATTTCACATCTTGATTGTGTTGTAAATATTGGAGATTATGACACAAATTTTTATAAATAATAATTATAATATTTCCCCCTTTTTGTAATAATAGTTGCTTTAATGTTATGCACATTTTTAATAAATCAATTTTTTTCTTTTCTTATTGACTTTCCTCTCTCAAATTATAGGTGAAATTTTTTTTATTTTTCCGTTACATACAAGTGTGAAAATGTTATTAAATTTAATATTTATATGTTAGGTCATTTTCTCTCTCTTACTCTATCTCTTAGTGACTCCATTTCTTATTGACTTCCATCTCTTTCATTCTGTTTTGTCACTCATCATGGTCGAACAATGTAATATAGTTTCTAATCGTTTGATTTATGACGTACTCTTCTCGGAGCCACTCTTCATCTGTCTTTGAAAGAGAGAGAGAGAGAGGAGACGATGGGCAAAGATAGAGAAAGAGACGAGATGAGATTAGGGTCAGAGAAAAAGTGGAAAAGAGGAGACAGGGGCCATTTGTCAAGAAAGAGAGAGAGTGTTGAGTTGGTCAAGCGTTTTTTATTTTGGAAAAAGATAATAACCTTAAAACGACTATTATTGTGAAATGGAGTGAGTACTATTTTTTATGTTAACTAACAAGATTATAAAATTTACATATCTAAGGTTGTGTTTGTTTTAATATTTTCAACCGTATCATATCTAATACTATTTAAAATATATATTTGTTTTAATATTTTTAAAATTCAATCATATTTTATTCAACTTAAAAAATTTAGATTTTTTTAACCCCCTAGACATGTTAATTTAACTAAACATTCCAACAATAAAAACTTATAAATTGACAAAAATACCTTTATCTATCCACATATTCTTGGCAGTTGGCCACTTTCGTCGGAAGGTGGTCAAAATCTACCAGAATGGATCACAACCGGTTGGATGTAGTCGGTCTTGTGTTGATTTGGCTTTTTCTGGTCAGATCAACCATGGATATGGTTGGAAAAGGCCAAAAGATTTGGCCATTCTGGCCAAATATGTTTGTCAACGACGGCTAAGATATGGTCATCGTTAACGATCAAATTTTTAGTCATAGATCTAGTCGGAAAAGGCAAAATCGACGCACTACCAGTCGATCGTACGCCATTCCAGCGACTTTCGGCCATCGTTTGACGGTGGTGGTCGGTTGTCAGCATTTAATGGATGGGTGGAGGTATTTTTGTTAATTTTAAAACTTTTATTGTAGGGAGTGTTTAGTTAAATTAACAAATGTAAGAGATTAAAAAATAATCTAAATATTTTTAGAAAATATTTTTCAAAAATTTATCAAACACATTTTCAAATTTAAATTATATTCTCGTAATAACAATTCAACTTAAATTTTTCAAAAATACTATTCTAAACACTCTATCAAATACAACCTAATATTTTTTTCCACACTATTATACTTGTAATAAAAAAGGAAGACGTTTATTCTTCTAGCAATATTTTAAAACCCAACTCGGGGTGAAACCTAACAAAGTGGTTGGGTCTCGGGTTGATCGGTTTAATCGAGTTGACCAACGGGTCAAACCGGTGTCTAAAGGCTTGAAATCTAACAAAAATACCCCTGAAAATTAATGTAAGTCTTTATTGGTTTAAAATCTTGAAAAAACATCCTAAACACTACTATTGGTGTGGCAAATAGGGTTTGTTTTCGGCAACGACAACACTCCCATCACCACGAAAACACTCTCCTAAGCCTCTTGACTGAAACCCATCTCACCGTTCCCCTAATTGCTTTTCCAATCGTCGGCAACAACGGGCTTTTTTAGACGACATTTTTTTCACTCATCGGATATCGACACTATTGCATTCATCGGTCATTCTCTTCAAAAACCCTAACATTCAAACTTATGCCATCTTTTAGAATGGATGATAAATATGGGCATTAATATAGGTATGAAACCCAACTCACTCCATTACATCTCCAGATGTATTTTTGTTATATATGTAATTATAAATTTTGTGAAAACCATACATTATTTGATAAGCAAAATTTTGATGAGTGGAGTTGCTTGTGCTAAAATCGCGGGCCGTTAAAACCAATTGTTATAGTTAGGCATCAAATTTCTAAGCAACACATTCCATTAATGTTCCTTAATAAAATTGGATGTGTGTTTAGGCTGAAATGATCTGACTCTTAACTTGTGCGGTCCAAAATTCTATAATTATTTTATGGTATGATATTTTAGGACACTTCAATTTCATTATCTTCCAAGTAGTTGTAACGTTGGACAGGTGGACTCTCACCTCACCGTCAATTGTTTGGTTGACTGCTATTTCCATTATTTCTCTTTATAAAGGTTTCTACTCTGATATTTTTCTCAATCATTCCATTTCTCTTTCTCTGCTGCAACTTCAATACATTAATTCATCTCTCTTCTTTCAAAATCTTGGAGGAAGAGAGAAATTCTTTTCGCATACTGGACGTCAGAGAATTCTTTGTTCGTGCTTCGATGGCGAAGGAAATTAGAAGCTTGCATTCTTGGATGGCTGTAGCTCCAGCTCTTATTACGTACCCATTAAA